AATTGTACACCTAACCCTTAACTGTACCCCACAAAATCATAATAAAAAATATTGATTAAAAAAAAGAACAAATTAGAATACAGTAATATCTTTAATAATATTTAACAGTATAGTAAGTAAAATATGTTTTTAGGTACACATATAGATAGGGAGATACATACATGCATACATATATACATATGTAATCAAACTGCTTGCCAGCAATAAACATCTGTCAAATAATATACATACATTATCAAACTAGTTGCCAGCAAAACATTTGTGAAGTATTTAGAAAAATGTATTATAGTGTTTATTTCAAAGAATCAAGAAATTTTGTCTATTAGAATGTCAGCCATTCTCAAATTTCTAATAAAAATGAGAAAATAAATGTTCAAACACTGAAATAGCCATCAAATAAAAGTAGGCATTAAAACATTCATTACAATCTAGAAATTAACAAAAATGACAGTATTATGGATCTAACTGCAGGATGGCAACAAAGCTGCAACCAAAGGCAGATTTGTAAGAGTAAAACAAGGTTTTTGTTTAATGGGTTTTGTTTTTGTTGTATATTCTAATAATTTTCAATTGTTTAAAATTAAGCTCAAGCCACTGGAATATTTCCTAATGTAATATTCTACAATAAGTATCACAATGCCATTCAGGGAAAATAATTTGCTGGGCCTAATGCCTACTCCTCCCTGTCTTTACTGTCATCATTTATTTTGACTTCTTGTTCTCTGCTCTTCACCTCCTTGAGACACCAACCACTTGCCACCATATTTGGTCTCCTGACACACACAACCCCTTTAAGTCTAACAATTCTTGTGAACACTGTCTCTGACTTTGATCCTTAGTCTCTCATATGCTATTTTATAGTAACTCTTGGTTTCACACAAGGAGTTCTACCCTCTAGTCAGGATGAGGAGTCTGTTTAAGTTGTAAGAGCATCACCTTGCCTCCCAACAAGAGGAGGAAAATTACAAAGGAAAGATAAATTGTATAAGAGTGTTTTCTCAGCCCCTTATAAGCTTACCAAAACATTAAATAAATACACAAATATATACATTCATGTATGTATGCACAGATACATGCATACATGAATGGAGGATGCAGAAGCCATCTTTCAGGGGTTCACTCAGAAGTTACAAAAGATATATACATATTTAAATATTTGGACCGGGCATGGTGGCTCATACATGTAAATCCAACATTTTGGGAGGCCAAGGCAGGAGGATCACTTAAGCCTAGGAGTTTGAGACCAACCTAGACAGCATAGTGAGTCCTTGTCTCTAAAAAAAAAGTTTAAATTAGCCAGATGTGGTGCACCTGCAGTCCCAGCTGCTCAGAAGGCTGAGGCAGGAGGACCGCTTGAGCCATGGAGTTTGAGGCTGCAGTGCCATAATCATGCCACTACAAACTAAACTAGATGACTCAAAAAATTTTTAATTTAATTTAAAAAATGAAATAAACATTTAAATTATATTTCAATGGGAATAATTTGAACTAAAATAATAAAATTATTATACTATTTCTGTCTCTGAGCTCCTTGCGCTTAACAAAATCACAAGTACATTATACTGTCAAAAACATTAAGTGGCTATATGATTTATTTATGCATATAAATAAAAGTTGGTTTGTAGGCTTGTGTTGCATCTTTTTCTTTTTTTTTTTTTTTTGAATTGGAGTCTCACTCTGTCACCCAAGCTGGAGGGCCGTGGCATGCTCCCGGCCACCGCAGCCTCGACCTGCTGGGCTCCTACAATCCTTCCACCTCAGCCTTCCAAGTAGCTGGAACTACAGGCGCGCGCTACCACGCCCGGCTAATTTTTTTAATTTATTGTAGAGATGAGGTCTCGCCAAGTTGCCTGGGAGGGTCTCGAACCCGCGGGCTCAGGCAATCCTCTCGCCTCGGCCTCCCAAAGTGCTGGGATTACAGGCTGAGCCACTGAGCCCGGCCACATCTGATTTTTCAATCAAAATATTTTTACTTTTCCTGAACTTTTCAGTAAATATTATTAGCCATACCATGATTTCTGTAACAAGCATATTCATTTAAAAATTATAATGTATTTTCTCAATTCAGAGTTATTTCCAACAAGAAAATTGTCAGTTTTCTGTAAAAGAACTATGGTTAGTTGCTGTGGTCAACCATGGTACTAAGAGAGAAAATAAATTTGATACTTGTATAAAAGTTCTCAAGGAATCATGCACGTGTACAGAAAGACAAGTTTATGCGATCAAAATAACTTATGTGGTGTTTAAATATAACCTTCTTCTCCAATGTAGACGAGGGTCCAACGTATCTCTTACACTGGATATGAGTAGCTTGGGGAGCATTGAACCCTTTGTGGCTATACCAACCCCACGGGAGAAGGTCGCAATGGAGTACTTACAGTCAGCCAGCCGAATTCTCACAAGATCACAGCTGAGGGATGTCGTGGCAAGCTCACATTTACTCCAAAGTGAATTCATGGTAAGCCTGCTATTTATTATTTACTCTTCAGTGGGTATTTTGATACACTAGGCACTAGAGATACATGTAAAAATGACACTGCCCTACACTTAAGCAGTTCCCAGGAAACAAATGGTTACAGTTAAAAAGGCAAAGTGAAGTGATTTTAGATTCATCTTTAGTCTCATCAACTGTTAATAAGTCTTCATACTAGATTGTGAGAGCCAAATTGAAGCAGAGTATGTAGGAGTTGGCCAGATGAAGAAACTGGGCAGAGAAGGGGCATTCCAAGACAAAGGGACATCCTTGCTGTCACTGCTTGGGAAATTAAATTTTACAGTTTAACTAGAGCATTGAAATAAAAATGGGAAGTGGCAAAAGTTGAGCCTCAGAAATATAAAAGAAACCTAAGTGTTAATGTATATTTAGGAGTTTGGACTTCATATTGTGTTTTAGGAAGATCATTCTATCTGCAGTAGAGTAGGCACCAGAGGAAACAGTTTGGAGGTTCTAGAGATAATTCTGTGGAACTGTGATGGTGGCCTAAACTAAGTTACTAGCAGAGAAAATGGAGAGCATCTATAAGAATCTACAAGTAGGCTTATTTGAATGAGGTAGCCAAAAGTAATGGAAAAGTCACAGATAACACCCATTTTTTTGGCTTGAGCAACAGGGCACATATGGTACCCTTTAACAAAATAAAGAGCAAAACACAGGAAGACCAAGTGTGGGCCAAAAATAATAGTGAGTTCAGCTTTAGACATATCAGTGTTGCTGGTAACAGTTAAAGCATGATACCATATATCTACCCAGAGAACATGGAGTCAGATTAGACCTTCCTAGTTCTAATGGTTGCCCTAAGGGAATATTCATTTTATAGGTCACCTTCCATCTTAAAATTTTTGTATGTCTGAAACCACACTGGTTTAATATAATAAATTGATTATTTTAGGGCCAGTTCAGATCTTTACAGCCACCCTAATGGTGAAAGAGTCAGCAGTGAGTTAGATCTACTATTATCCTCGTCAACTATTTTTTTTGGAGTTACAAATACATTTTATTTATATCTCTTGGCTGTATTCGTTTTTACAAAAATCAGATTTTTTTATTTTAAAGATGTGGGGTACAATTCAGGGGTTAGGTATACAAATGTTCAGCATGCAGGTACCCATGTTGCTCATCAACTACTGTGTCCAAAATATAATACAAACAAGGAGTTTTTTGAAATCAGACTTTGTGGTGTGTCATCTTTTTATATGTGAAGAAAATGAGACCTAGATGGATGAAAGAACCAGTCATCAGTCACACAGCTAGCCATAGTGATTTTTTTCTAGAACTTCAGACAGCTCTTTGTGTATGAAATAAGTCCTTAACGTAATCTACTTCCCTGAAAGGATATTTAAGACCAAAGACGCATTCCCAGGAGAGAGATCGTCCTTGAAGATGACAGATTGTCAATATGTGTCAAAAAACAGGAGGTGAGAAGGAAGAACGGAGGAATTACAATATTCCCTACTTTGTGGCTTTGCCAAAAGAGACTGACCTGTTTGAAATTATCAAACATGAGTATGTGTTTTCTATTTAACATTCAACAATTTTGCTTACTTTGGTCACTTGGAACTGAGAAGTTAAAACATTTAGTTGGAGTAGGATGAATATCATAAATATCTAACAGAATGCAAGTTTAGAAAAGGATGTTGCAAAGAATAAGTTGCTTCTCTCATAGACCAAGTCTCAAATTCATAATATTGTCTGGCTTTTTCCAAATTTTCAGATTGACTGAAAACTAGGACAATTTGAATTAATTAACAGATGATTTTTTCATTTCAATGAATATTATGTTGCTTAGTTATATTTTCCATTGAAGAAAGCTTAAGTAATAAAAATATTATTTTATGTGATCTAAGGATTTAATGCTTATCAGTCATTAAATAACATAAAAGTTATTTTATTTCACATTAATCTTATCAAAGTAATTCTTTGCAGAATTACTATTAGAGAATATACTATTTTGTTAGGAAAATTCTAAGCTATTTGTTTGAATCCTTTTGAAAACTTTGGCTCACTGATGTCTTTGTCCTAGTCAGCCACAGATACTCCCCTTTTGAGATCTCACGCATGTCCACAGAGCCACTTCTGTTCTTTTTTTTTTTTTACCTTTAAATTTTTTATTTTAAAATTGTGGGGTACAATTTTGGGTTAGGTATACAAATATTATGCAGCTACCCTTGTTGATGAGGTGTGTCCCCCTCTCCCGAGGCAGTTTCCCACTCCTGCCAATCCCACCTCCCCGCCCCATGCTCCCGCAGTTTCCCACTACTGTCAATCCTTTTCTTATAGTATTACAATAGTTGTTCAAGGTCCACTTATGAGTGAGAACATGTTGTTTCTGTGAAAGATCACTCAGTATTATAGACTCTAAATCCATCCAGGTGGTTGTGAAGTTCAAGATTTTGTTCTTTATGAGCCACTTCTGTTCAAAGGGTTCCCTCTCCAATCATTTGAGGCACATAACATAGATTTTGATAGAATAAGAATATTTATATTCTCATAAAGTGGGAGGAAATGTGTCTGAATAACAGTCACTAAAGACATTGCATTTAAAATTACAAATGGAACAGTCCAATTATAAACTAGTTCTTAACACTCACACAAAAATTATATTATCCCTTGAATCAACAAAAAAGCCCTTTATATCTACCATTTTGGGAAGAACTTTTTAGAAATCTGAAAAGAGTCACTATTAATACACTAATGTTTACTATCATAGTAAAATGTTTGGCACTGAACTTACATAAAGATTTGAAGATATGTGAATACACTGTTTAAACAATTCATTTTTAGCACCTGTCTAATAATTCCAGTAATTATGTCACAACATAATTTTTTAAATCTAGCCAAAGTAGTATATGTTTTTTTAATGATTACATACAAGACAATACTTTCTAACACACAGAGCTGTTTCTTAAAAGTCAGCTTGTCGGGTACTGCTGATATGTTTATGAAAGGAAGGGTGTTGGCCAACTAGAAGTGATATTCTGTTGTTTGTAACTGACTTTGAAGTCCAATGGAGCGCTGGATCAGATGACCCCCTGTGAAGGTTTTCTTTATGGTAGCATTAGATACACTAATTTGATATCATTTATTTTTGCAGGAAATACCAATGAACTTTGTGGATCCCAAAGAAATTGATATTCCACGTCATGGAACTAAAAATCGCTATAAGACAATTTTGCCAAGTAAGTTTCTTGATTTAAAAATTTACAAGGTAAAGCACAAGACAAGCCTTCCCCATTCACCCCTATTCCACCATTTCCAATTCTTGCAATTCCCACTTACACACCACATTTGGAATTACTAACACCTATCAAGACTCATAATCATTAAAGTGGTCTGTGATTAATGACTTTATCTTTGTTACTCTTGTAGTGTCCAGCTCACAATTCCAATGGACACATGGTTCAAACATTTTTTTTTGTAAAAAAAAAAAAAAAAGTTTATTGTCATGGGTGTCAAATAATTTAATGGGAAAAAGAGTCTTTTCAACAATAGTGCTGAAACAACTGGATATCCACAGGCCAAAAAATGAAGTTGGAGACCCTGCCTCATTCTATATACAAAATTGACTCAAAATGGATCAGAGACCTACATGTAAGAGATAGACCTATAAAACTCTTAGGATAAAACAAGTGTGAATATTCATGACCTAGTCAATTGTTTCTTAGATATGACACCAGAACAATAAATTGAACTACATTAAAATTGAAAAATTTGTGCTTCAAAAGATACCTTCAAGAAAGTAAAAAGACAACTCACAGAATGAGAAAATGTTTGCAAGTCATATATCTAATAAGAGACTTGTATCTGGAATAAAAAAATTCTTAAAACTCTATAGTAAAAACACAAATATATTATGATATTATTTATAGTAGCCAAAAAGTGGAAACAACCTAAATGTCCATCAATTGATGAATGGATAAATTAAATGTAGTATATTTGCACAATAGAATCAATAAAAAGGAACAAGACACTGATGCAACATGGATGAACCTTGATAACATGCTAAGTGAAAGATGTCAGTAGACCCCATATGTTATAATCCAGTTACGAAAAATGTCCAGATAGGCAAATCTACAGAGACAGAAAATATCTTAGCGGTTGCCTAGTGTTGAGGAAGATGAGGAATGACCAGTAAAGGGTCTGGTATTTATTTGGTGGCTAATGAAAATGTTATAAAATGGATTATGGTAATTGTTGTACAACTCTGTAAATAAAAAATAAACTCTGTGATGGCACGCTAAATGGATGAATTGTATGGTATGTAAATCATTTCTCAATAAAGCTATTACCAAAACAACTTCACTGTACATAACAATCCCCTAGAGTTCTTGTTAAAAAATCCAGAATACTGTCCCCAACCCCAGGGATTTTGTTTAACTAGATCTGCTATTAAGTTCAGGAAACTACTTCTAGCAAACACCCAGGTGATTCCGATGCAGATGGAACAGGACCACACTTTGAGAAACACTACTGTATATTAAAACTAAATTTAGCTCCATGAAATTTACCAATGTCAAGCAGTGAGCTGGATACCAGGGACCAGTAAAGAACAAGAAACTCTATAAAATCAAGGAGATCATAGACTAAAAAGGAGAGACATGCAAACAAACAATTATATTCAGAGTCCTAAGAGCCAGAACAGAGATATTGCCCAAATAACGTAGGAGTTCAGAGAACTGAGTAATCAATTCTGCCTAGAACAAGCAAAAAACTTTGGAGAGAAAGTAACATTTTCTACCATTAAACAAACATATAGTTGGGGTCTGGGCAAAATCCATAGACATTTCACGGCAAAGTTCTGAAAAGATGGAGCCACAAAGACTTTTTTAAAGTATTCACATAGAATTAGTAGGCTTCATTATTTAGTCCATTAATTCACTCATAAGACACCAAGTTCTCCATATTCATAGTAATTGCAATGAATTAAAATCAAGTAATTAAAAAATTACTGTTAATGTTGTCTTTGGTGGAATTGGAAATGCATTGTTAAAGTCACTCACTCTAACATTCTAACATATTTTTAACTGGTCTATATAGGTATAGTCACTTTTAAAAGGTATTTTATGACTACAACCAGTTGAAAGGGAGAAAAGTGCTCTGTGTTAGAATTGGGATATTTCTCTCTCTCTCTCTCTCTCTCTCTCTCTCTCTCTCTCTCTCTCTCTCTCTCGTTCTCTGTTAAAATTTTTATCTAAAGTATGCCAAACTAATAATCATGGCATATACATCCATCACAATTATATATACCAAAGGCATCATCTATTGTCAGAAGAATTTGGAAATTATTAGGATTATTCCAAAGTTCAGCCTTCTCCATTTCCTGCCCAGATGATATCAGGCAACTGCTTCATAGTCCTGTGTCAGCTTTTCCATTCCCAGAACTGGGTGGACCACTGGAGCCAGGGCACCTATGCTGACAACTGCTGTTGTAAATGATGGATTTTCTATCAAAAATATCTGCAGCCTGAATGCCCCACCCACCTCCATTGCACAAAGTATAATTTAGGAAATATAGCTTGGATGAGCCACACTATTGATTGAAAAGTATTCAAAAAGTCTGGCATAAATAGGCAAAGCTGTTCTTTATAGTTTGAGTTTGACTGTAATATGAGATAAACTTGAAATATTACATAAAATGATAATTAGCACACGATTAAAATTTTAAATATTATGTTTTTTATTGTTTTAAGCTACACTAAGTTCCTCTTAGGTTTCAAAGTTTATCAGCATTATATGATTTTGAGGACGCTTCACAGCAGATACATGGATAACCAAGAACCAATTACACCATAAATCAGATTATAGTCATTTCTCTAAGGACAATGTTAGCCTGGCTCAGAACATTCAAAATGGTAGATTAAAATGCTGAGGTCGAGTTTTATCTAATTATTTTGCAGTATAAACAAATATTTGAGATAAAAAATGTCTACGGCGTAAATCACAAAGGTAAAAGGAAAAAAATATATCAATATGAAATTATTAGCACACAATGAAGTATAATACTGTAACAATAAATTATATGTATATATTTATTCAGTATAGCCAACTAACTTATCAAATATAAGACCATATAGACAAAATTTAAAAACCCTACTAACTCAGCCCATTATTTCATATTTAAAATTATAATGTCTCGTAATATTTCCTACTTAAATTATGTTTTCTCTTTTATTATATTAAGTGCCTAACACAGAATAGATGTGCAAATAAGTGAAGCACTCATTAAAATAAGTTGTGTAGCTAAAGAAAGACATTAGAATTAGATTTGATTTCCTATCTCAGCCAAAACATTTACAATTTTTGGCAGGTTACTTAATCTTCCTGTGCCATCCTTTCTTCACCTCTAAAAATAGTGATGATAATAATACTATCCTAAAGACTATTGAAAAAATTAAACAACACTATATGTAAAATGCCTATCAAAGTATCAACTAAGCCCTAAGCTAATGTTGATTTGTTTCTTTTTCCCCTTCCTACCTAAATGAAGATGGATTCATCATTAATCCTAGAACCAATTCCAGAAAATAGGGGCACCATCTATGTAGAGAAAAGTTTACAGTTTCAAAGGCAAAGTACTCAAGAGCCCTATCTCCCTTATAATTTTCACATGGTTCTTAAAAAGTGAATATTCACAAAATCTTCTCCTACATTCATTGCCAAGATCAACTCCACAATGATGGAAATGTTTTATATCACTAATATGATAGGCACTAGCCACATGTGGCAGTTGAGCACTTAAAATGTAGCTAGTGCAACTGAGGAACTTATTTTTTAATTTAATTTTATATTAATTAACTTAAATTTAATTAACTAAATGCAGTTAGTGGCTACTATATTGGAAAATGCAGGCCTGGAGTCTTCCCTCTCCCTGCAACAAACTTGAATGTGGTTTATGATCATGTGAAGGTGTGGCCACCCCTGTCTTCCCTCCCATATCCTGCTTATCTTAAATTCATCCACAAAAATCATCCTATTCTTGTCATCCATGTCTTTGCTCATCCTAACAGTGATACAGTTTTCTCTCATCTGATTGCTTCTTCTCTTGATTTCAAACCTCCAATGCATTTCTTCTTGGAGAGGAAATTTTAAGCCCAGCATACCTTTCATAGAATCAAACATGAAACCAATAAAATATCAGAATCCAGGTACCATTTTGTCTATTAAATAGAAGACTTGAGATTGACAGAAGGTATTTTAGGGGACCAGAATAGGAAAATTTCATGTTCCATATACCAAATTTGTATATATGTTCAATAATGCTGAAAGGAAAAAAAAGGAGGAAAGAAAAAAGAGAAGAAAGGAGAGAGGAAGAGAAAGAAGAAAAAAAAGGGGCAAAAAAAGGAATAAAGAGACAGGGGAGGAAAGGAGAAAAATAAAAAAACGAAGTAAGGGAGGAAGAAAAAAAAATTTCATGGTGAATTTGACTAACATGTGGACTTAAAATGTATGACATGAACAAAATTAGAACTTCAGGTCAGAAATTCGAGGCTGTAGTGTGCAATGATCATACCTGTGAATAGCCACTGCACTCCAGCCTGGGCAACATAGCAAGAACCCCCTCTCTAAAGACAAAAATAAAAAAATTTGAACACCTCTAAATACTTGGAAAATACCATAAATTACTAATTTCCAACATAATTTAACTTGACAGGGAATCTGTAAGAAGTTTATAGAGTTCCTAGTAAATCATATATATCACAGGCATTATAAAAACTGAAGGAAATATCACTCTTTTCAAGCTTGCGTAGGATATAATGTTTGTGGAAACTTCCAATAATCAGTGGATACTGAAAGGCATGAAAAAGTTCTTGTCCCTTTTGCTAAGGAAAAAAAAAAGCCTAGAATGTCAAAAGCAGAGTTTTAACTCTTCCTAATAGAAATTAATTCTAACATTAAACTCTCTATAACTTATATATTAAATAGAAATCACAAAGGATACAAAAGTTAATTAAAGACAACCCTTGCTCCTAACGGGCTTGTCACAATCCATCGAAAGCTAGCAGAAATTTAAGTATTTAAAATACAAAATAAAACTCCAGGAGCCCAAGCAAAAAAGTGAATGCCTAATTCTGCCTAGGAAGGCCAGGGAGGGTTTCAGAAAGATATTTCTTGAACTGAGCCCTGAAGAATGAGGGAGACTTTATCATTCAAAGAAGGCAAAGGAAAAAATATGTGCAAA